GATCTCGGCTCAGTACAAACTCTACCTTTAAGGTTCAAGCGATTCTCCTGCCTCATCCTCCTATCTGGGATTACAGGCGCCCACCATCACACCCAGCTAATTTTTTGTATTTTGTATTTCACCATGTTGGCCAGACTGGTCTCAAACTCCTGACCTTGTGATTCACCCACCTTGGCCTCCCAAAGCGCTGGGATTACAGGTGTGAGCCACCATGCCCACCCTCCTGGTCCTTATCTTAAGTGAGCACTGGAAAATGTGTTCTCCTTAGAGTAGCAGCTTTCTCAGATAACTTCCTGTCCACAGAAGGTTGAAGCCCCATGATCACTTCCAGTCTATTTACAGTTTCTTTTAGTCTTGACTGATAGACATGTTGGCATGTCTCTCAAAAATTTAGTCAGCTTCTTCCATATTTGATTCAAGCCAGCTGCACATACCATGATTGTGTGTCTCCACTGTACTGGGTCACAACTTGCTCTTTTACTTCTTTCGTGTAGATACCTTGAATCTATTAAGCTCTATCATGGGAAGATCTGCACCATTTTGTTCAACTGAAAAGATTCAAGGAGTACCACTTTAATCTATTCTGAGGTTTTAGTCATGGGTGTGATCCTTGCTGGGTTCTAATCGCCTTTGTTGCTCATCTCAGTTTTGTTTTTCAATGAATAATAATGAGAATTACTTGCATCTTCTAAACATGTGTGTCTCCAAATTTATAGCTCGCTAAAATCACTTTCATTCCTAACTGCTAGCTGGACAGTTATTTTCCGAACTTATCGTTGCCTGTAGCATTGAGGCAGGAGAATAGAGTCTGGAGGCAGGGAACCTAAGGCTTCCTAAAACTTAATCGAAAGGAAAACTCCAGCTTTCCAGGCCCAAATAACAAAAGGACTCAAGGCTACGCCCTTTGCAACCCCCATCTTTTCTGCATGACAGATAAAAAATTGCAACTACCCACACACTGGGGTCTGTGGTGGGGTGGAATAGAGAAGGGACAGCGGGGGGTGGGGAGTTGGGGAGAGATAGCATGGGTAGAAATGCCAGATATAGGTGATGGAGAGGAATGCAGCAAATCACACTGCCATATGTGTACCTATGCAACAATCTTGCATGTTCTTCACATGTACCCCAAAACCTAAAATGCAATTTAAAAAAATTGCAACTACCTCTGATTGATCCCCTCCTGCAATCAGTCAGGCTGCTTACAGGCCAAGTCTTCATTTGCATAGGAGTATAACTTTGTGTGTGTGTTTTTTTTTTAAGACAGAGTTTGCTCTGTGGCCAGGCTGGAGTGCAGTGGCGCGATCTTGGCTCACTACAACCTCCGCCTCCTCAGTTCAAGCAATTCCCTTACCCCAGCCTCCCGAGTAGCTAGGACTACAGGCGTGCACCCCGACACCCTGCTAATTTTTTGTGTTTTAGTAGAAACCGGTCTTGAACTCCTGATCTCGTGATCCCCCACCACCAACCCCCATCTCTGATTCATCACTTTCTGCAACCAATTAGGTATTTGCATAGGGTGTAACTGTAACTTTGCTTCCCAGCCTCTGATTCATCACTTTCTGCAACCAATTAGACATTTGCATAGGGTGTTAACTATAACTTTGCCTCCCAGCCTCTGATTCATCACTTTCTGCGACCAATTAGACATTTGCATAGGGTGTAATTGTAACTTTGCTTCAGGCTCTGATTGGTCCTCTCCTGCAACCAATCAGACGGATTTAGGGACCACTACTTCATTTACATCGGGTGTACACCAAATAACCAATGGGAAACCTCTAGAGAGTATTTAAACCCCAGAAAATTCTGTAACCAGGCCCATGAGCCGCTTACTCCAGCCTGCTGCCACTCTACAGAGTGTATTTTCGATTTCAATAAATCTCTGCCTTTGTTACTCATTCTTTTCTTGCTTTGTGCGTTTTGTCCAGTTCTTTGTTCACAGTGCCCAGAAACTTGACACCCCACCACCAGTAACAGTATTTTATATGATCAGTAGTTACTGACTCAGCATGCCACCAGCTTTCCATTTTCTGGCCTTTTCCTCCAGAGCTACTAGAGCTTCCCCATATTATCACAGGAGTTTTGCTAAAGGTTTCACTCCTGTGAATATGAATCACCATCTTTATGGCTTCTCCTCACTTCCTTTGTTGTGTACTCCCCAGCCACTGAGCCAATGCTATTTATTTAAAGATTTTGTTCTAGTAAACATCCCCATTCTGACACTAATTTCTGTGTTAGTCAAGGTTGGTTCAGTGTTCCTCTGGTAATAAACACCACAATTTCAATGGCTGAAAACAATAAAAGTTTAATTCATATTCATCCTATATATCCATTATGGGATGATGAGGGAGCTTGTGCTCTGCTTATTGTAGTTACGCAGGAAGGAAGACTGACTATGTAGCCATTATCTTGCATGCTGCTAGTTGCTGTAGTAGAAGGAAGGAGTTCTCAAGGGTCTTATAATGACAAGCCTGGAAGTGACTCATTTCATGTCTGCTAACTAGTAGGCCAAAATTAGTTACATGACATTATTCAACTACAAGCCAGGAAGAGCAATTCTCTCTCGTGCCCAGAATGGCAGACAAGAGGAACTATTTGTTTAACACTATGAATACTTACCAGAATAGGTAAACAAAAAAGATAATTAAAATACTTGTAATACGTGCTGTAAATAGGAGAAAAGCTGGGCTATGTAAGTAATTGAGGGACCTATTTAAAGAGGGTGGTCTGGGAAGTGTCTCTGAAGGTTTGCATTGAAACCTCAAAAGTCAGAAGGAATGAACAAGACTGAGATGAAGAACATTCCAGAGAAGAAAGAAGCATAACGGCCTTAGGGTGCAATGAGCCTGGTTTAGCTTGAAACTGAGAGAAGACGAGATATTTCAAAATCAAAGAAACAATGAGGGTGTCCAGGGAATGTCATGAGAGAGGAGATAACATCAACTACCATCAGCAGTCAGTGCACAAAAGGCCCTAAAGGCCTTACCAAGTAATTAGGATTTTAACCTACCTGCAATAGGAAGCCTTTGAAAGGTCTTAGGACAAAGAGTGCATGTTTAAGTTTTAAAAGAGTAACTCCTAATGTGGGGAATTATCTAGAAATATTAAGAGTGAAAATAGGACACCAACTGGGAGGCTATCACAGCACATAGCATCATAGCAGTGTAGACAGAGATGATGACAGTGGCAAGGGTTGGGGGGCATATGTGAGGATGCAGGGAGTAGTAAGTAGTGAAGATGGTAAGAAATGAACACATTTAAAACATGTTTTGAAAGATTTACTGATGGACTGAATAAGTGAAAAGTTGAGAATGGGAAGAGCAATTATGACTCCCATGTTTCTGGTTTTAGTGATAGGGTGGTTGGCACTGCCATTTACAGAGATGTATCAGGGATAACTAGGTTTAGCTTCTACAGGAGACCAGATCGTATTCTGGACATGTTAAGTTTGAGAAATCCAAATGAGTAAGAAGTTAAATATAAGAGTGGATCACATAGGAAAAGTCTGGTTAAAGATTTTTTTTTTTTTGAGATGATCTTGCTCTGTCATCCAGGCTGGAGTGCCGTGGTGCCATCATAGCTCACTGTGGCCTCAAATTCCAGGGCTCAAGCAATTCTCCCACCCCAGCCTCCCAAGTAGCTGGGACAGCAGGTGTCTGCCACTGCACCCAGATAATTTTTTTAATCTTTGTGTATTGCAGAGATGGTGTCTCATTTTGTTGCCTTGGCTGATCTTCCAGCCATATCCTCCCAAACTGCTAGGATTACAGGCATGAGCCACTGCACCTGGCCAAAGATGTAAATCAAGAGCCCCAGCATGATGTAACTCAAAAATCACACAGGTGGGAGTGTGTTGGAGAAGAGATGGAAATTCCAGGACTTGCCTAACAAACTCCTCCTTGAGATTTGTTTCCAGAAATGTATCCCTGTTGGGTATGTGGACTTGTATTTCTAATTGTCAGGGAGTAAAATTAACAAATAACAATCTAGATAGCTGTTAATATTTGGAGGGATTTCTTTTGATTTGAAACCTATTTGCTATTTGATTCTAATTGACAGCAAAAAAACTACATTTCCAAACACTATTGGTATCCCCATTCTACACATGTGGAAAACTGAAGCATGGGCTTCAGTAGAAGAAGGGGATTCAGTAATTTGCCCAATATGACACAAAATTGGCGAGAAGTGGGGCCTGTATTGGAAACTAAACAATTTGGCTCCAGAGTCTGTTCAGAACCCCTACACTGTATGGCAGTGGTGGTAAAGTAGCTTCGTTAATTTGTTTAGTGGGTTACAAATAATAGATGATCTGTATCTATATGAGTTATATATATAGTAACAGTTAAATATGCGTATATATTATATGTATATTCTAGTTCCAAGAAGAGCTTTTATTGGATCTGAGTTCACGTACTCATGCTTGGATCATTAGAATCGTCAGGAACAGTTCACCTGGTAGCTGTGCACTGTAGCATTGCTACTAAACCCAGGAAGCACAGAAATGACTTCACTAGGACGGTTCCAAACTTTCAAGCCATTAAAAACAAACAGTAAATTTTAAAAACGCAAATTTTACTAGACAATTTGGTTTGCTCCACTTTTTGGCATCGAACTGTACTCCTACTCCTGGACGTCATTTGCTGGTCAGGAAGAGGAGTTGTTTCTCTTTTTTTCCCCCGCCACACACTAAAGTTTTTTGCTCCAAAGAACATTACACATAGTTAACATACTCAATTTACATTGTAGTTTTAAGTGTCGAAGATTTCCTTGAGGGCAGGAATAGCGTTATTCCATCGTTTTTAGCCCAGTAATGCAGGATAACAGAGAGAGGGAAGGTAGAAGGTAGGGAGGGAAGGGGAAAGGAAGGAAAGAAAGGAGTTCAAATCAAACATTCTTACTATACATTTTTAGAAGCTGAGCAAGATGCCCTCCAAGATTGTTTTTTAAAAAGTAAAGTTTTTAATACTTTAGGTGCAGAAAAGTCCTAATCCCATCTACAATACCTCTCACTCTTCCTCCACTCGCAGTCTGGACCTCCTCTGGGCCCGCTTCACTCAGCCTCCCGGTCCCGCCCACTTGTCCCCGGCTCCTCCCCCATCCCCCCCGGACTGGCCACCCCTGTACACTGCGCATGCCCAGTAGTGGCGCCGGCGCCGCGGACATTAGAGGCGGGGCCCAGAGAGGGGCGTTCCGCAGAGAAGAGGAAGAGGAAGTTGGGGGAGGGTCCTAGCGGCAGTGAACCGGAAGTGTAAAGGTTCCTGCTTCTCGGCCAGGCGGAACCTGCTCTGCTGGGCCCCGTGGCCGCAAAAGAACTTTCTTTCTCCCGCCCGAACGGAACGGTTGCCGCGGCCAACTGCCTCGCCCGCCTGGCAGCCTAACCCGCCCTCTCTTCTTCTCTCCGGCTTCGCGCGGCCCTGCCTCCCTCTTGTCCGGCGGCATCCTCTTGCTGCTGCCACCGCCTCCTCATCTTCTGCCCGGCCAACCCCGCTGCAGTGATGTGCGACAAGGAGTTCATGTGGGCCCTGAAAAACGGAGACTTGGATGAGGTGAAAGACTATGTGGCCAAGGTAAGCGGGGATGAGAAGAGTAGGTGAGAACACGGAGGTGGGCTGGAGATGAGGCTGAAGAAGCTGATGGGAGCTGGACTGCGGGGATGGGGGTAGGCGGGAAGAGAGACTTCCTGGGTGGAGGCGGCACCAAGGAGAGAGGGGCGTCTAGGGAGGAGCTAAACTGAAAGAAGGGTCCGAGTAACTTGGTAGCGTTCTGTGTCAGGTAACTGTTGTGTTGATACAGTCAGGCGCTACTTGACATCCTGGCCTCTTGGGGGAGGGGGAGTGGTGTCTGGTTCATCCAGAGTCTCTTCTGAGCGCTGATCATTTGAGTTTGGCCCTCTTCTACACCAAAGTTACTTAAACCTTTCTTTGAATGAGGTGGGTCTCCATCTTGGACTTAACCATTACTAAATGAAGTAAGCTAAGTAATTAGGATCAGAGGAACAATTTGTTTAACGCTGGGCCTGGTGTGAATTTAAAGAATTCATTGACCGTGAAAAGAGTACTGAAAATAGCGATAGTTAAAATTCTGAAACTTGGTGTCACTTCACTGTGGTGTCTTAACTTTGGGTGCGGCCTTTTTCCTTTTCCCCCACCACAACAAATACATATTTGGCATCTGGGAATGTTTAAGATATCTGAATCGTTTTTAAACAAGCATGTTAACTTTAGTTATTCCATTCTTCTCCCTGATTTCACCTGAAATGCTTACACATGTAGTACATAGCAATGGAATTTAGTGACAGTGTATTTGGGGGTAAAATGATGAAGAAACCCAAACTCAAACCTCAGCCCCAAATATAAAACTGAATCCACATTGTGGCAGAGTGGGAAACTTAAAATTCCAAGCTAGCCTGCCTTTCCATCCTAAAACTGTGCCTTTTGTAATCATGAGAGAACTTAACATATGATTTTAATTTAGGGATAATCTAAAAAGAATTTTCCAAAACAAGTATAATTTTATGACAGCCACGGATGGCATCTTTGTCACCTTCTAAAAGGGTGAGAATTCAGGCTAGATTTTAACTCTTAAACGAATAGGACCTGAGCTGGGTTTTTGCTTCAGAGGTATGTGTTAGGAAGCAAGTAAGCAGAAGCAGTTTCTTAAAACTTACAGGATTCTGCAAGGCAAACTGCTGAGGGCTTTATTCTATTTACTGTCATTACAATTTAGACTTTTTGAGTGCTGCTTACCTGCTTAGTTGTTATTTGCAGTGGATTTTTAGGATAGGCTGTCTTCTAGTCACTGCCTTCTCAGTTGGTAGCCGACTGAAACCTGACCTATTGGCTATTTTAATATAAAGTTAAAAGGAAGAAATTATTTGGAACACTTACCAGTGGCAGGACACCACAATACTCTGGAAGTGAGTGGGCTTTTGTTTTCCTGCCATGGTGGAACCTATGTTATTTGATACACTTGAAATACAAAAAATTGGTTAAGTACTAACTGAACTTACAGCTACCAAAAGAACACGGTTTATTTAGTGTTTTCCTGACACATTACTTTATGTCCTCCTTGTGACTACTGTGAAGTAAGTCCTATTATTGGTCCCATTTTACAGATTACTGAGATGCAGGATACTTAAGAAAAGTTATGGAGATGGTAAATTGTGAAGCAAGAACTAAATTGCTGACTCCAAAACTTAAACTCTTGAACTGCTCCATGCAGTATCTGTCAGTCTAAAATCTAATTGTGAAAGGATAGCATACCAAGATTTCTAGTAGGAGATTTCCAAGGTCCACATTCAGGCAGATAAATTGTGCCCAAAGAATTCTCAGCTACACAAAAATATTTGTATGAAAATATGTGCCAATAAAGATGGATTGATTTATTTCCAATTAGTTTTATAATTAGGTTATCATGTTCAGTTTTCTTTTTTCCTCTATATTACTACCATAGCCTATTCATTAATATAAAAAATGTTCATAAGAGGGAGGGTGGACATTCAGAAAAAGCAAAAGGAAGTATTGAAAACTGGACTATCCAAAAAATATGACTGTAACTGTAACGTAATCTGATGTACAGAGCGTTGAGCTTTATCCTTTGTTAGTTTTTATTAAGTAATGAAGATTTCATAAAGTATCTTTCACTTTGTTAATGAGAAATAATGACAAAACAAGTACTAAAGTTCATATTGACTCGGCTTCGTAGTGGTGCCCTTGTATACTCTTAGGTCTTTATTAGTTTCTTCTGCCCCACAGTTCTCTCCCCTGCTCATTTATTAACAACTCTCCTTTTTCATCTACCAATTTGTGAACACTCACTTTCTGCGTTTATGTAATGTGCGTCTATTTGAGTTGGTATGTGCAAAGAAAATGCCAAAGAAACATTTACACTTGTTTAGTCTTCATTCTCAGGGGTGAGAGTCCATTTAAAATACTCTCTTCAACATTCCTGTGAAGATCTCTCACACTGTTAACACAAGAATCTACCTGGAAAAGTAAGAAAGTAAGATAAGCATTTTAGTAGTATTTCCCTCCTTCTTTTTTTTTTTTTTTTTTTTTTTGAAACAGTTTTTTGGTTGTTGTTGTTGTTTTGGAGATAGGATCTTTGCTTTGTCACCCAGGCTAGAGTGCAGTGGCATGATCATAGCTCACTGTAACTTCAGACTCCTAGGCTCAGGTGATCCTCCTGCCTCAGCCTCCTGAGCAGCTGGGACCATAGGTGTGCACAACGACACCCAGTGAAATTTATTTTTTTGTAGAGACTGGATCTCACTTTGTTGCACAAGTTGCCCTCAAACTCCTAGCCTCCAGCGATCTTCTGGCCTCAGCCTCCCAAAGCCCTGGGATGATAGGTGTGAACCACTGGGCCCAGCCTTTTTTCCCTTTTTAAATAAGTATTTTAAAAAATGAGTAATTACACTTTTCTACCTGCTTCTGACTTCTCTCTTGAAAGGATATCCCTAAATCATTGGTTTTAGGTGAGTTCTTGAACTTAGAAAAGTGAGTTCATAGTTCCCAAGCCACTGAAAATTGTGTTTTGAAATGGAAAAGACAGTATTTAGAGAAAAATTTAGATTATTCAGAGAAAGATTTAGATTACTACATTACATGTTCTTGTATAACCTTAAACAATATCCGAAGCAATTTTAAAGTCTTTCAGTGCTGCATTTGGCTTCTTGACTGACTTAAGGACCACATTTAGTTAATCATTCATTTTTATTGGGCATCTTTCAGGTTTTAAACACTTTAGAAGTCCTGAGATGATAGTGAAGAAGTTGGACACAGTTCTCTGGAAACATAAGCACCTATATTCAGCAGACCTATGTGAAAAAAGATTCAGACTTTTATAGTAGTATGCAAATTATAAATCACATCTCACTTTCATAAAATTCAGTTGTCCAGCAGGAAAACAAGTCCAAGCCAGAAAATAAGCTATTCATGAGAAGCCAAAACAGATATTCATAGCCCTGTTTTTGATCCGGATGTTTCTTTTGGGTGCCATTATTTTTGCCTTTGTCTTCCATTTCTGCTTTTATGTAAATTTCCCCTGTTGGAGTTAATTCTAGCCTCACCTGAGTTTCAGATTGCATAAGCTCTGTTCAGACAAATTTTAAATTGAGCTGTTTTCCTCTCAGCTGTTTTTTTATTCCTCTTGTGTTCCCATTTTGACTCATGGCACCATGACCCAACCATTTGCCCATCCTGGAAACAAGGAAACTTTCCTAGATTTCTGAGGGTTACCAAGACTACTTTTTTAGTCTTCCCCTTCCATTTCTCACTCTCCTTTCTTCTTCTCACTGCTTAGGATCAGTTGCTACTTCTTTCCAGCCTAGACTATATTTTTCTTGACTATAAGAAAATAAGAAAGAAAATACAGCATTTGTCTGAACAGAGATTACACAGTCTGAAACTCAGGTGAGGCTAGAATTAACTCTAACAGGAGAAATTTACATAAAGGCAGAACTGGAAGACAAGGGCAAAAATAATGTTACCCAAAAGAAACATCCAGATCAAAAATGGGGCTATGAATATCAAGTCTGCTCACCTAAATCCCTAACCCCTAATCTGGTAAACTCCTGTTTACCCTCCTAGGGTAGGGTAAGTATCACCCCTTCCAGAAAAATATTTTGACTTCACACATAGAGTGCTGCTGCTTTACTGTTTTGCTCATCAGATGCCTGTGGTTTTCTTCACATGTCTGTCTTCATTAGGCTCTGAACTCTTGGAGGATAGATAATATATTCTTTTTCATCTTTGTGTCTCCAGCATAATGCCAAGGAATTGTACACATTAAAAGCATGTTCCTAGTTAGAAATTCACTTTATTCTTAACTTAGCAGTAACTTCAACATACTTCATTAGTTACTGAATAATAATTACCATTGACCGGATGACTTACATTGTCAGACTAGAAAGCACTCTGTCAGATGTTTCACTAAGTTTCACTAAGTTTTTAGTTGCTTCTTACCACAGTGTTTCGTTATACGTAATAATCTCATTTTAAGGCTGAGGAACCTGAGGCTTAGGGAACTGAAGTAACTTGACAGGGTCACAAACTAAGTAGCATAACTGGAATTTAAACCCAGAACTGTCTGAATCTACAGGGGGGCTGTATGCATTCGTGTGTGTGTGTGTTTATAATCATAATAGTTTGCT